ACTCTGTGGGGGAGAGAACATGTTGTTGCGGCAGATCGCATTTGGGCACCTTTAAGGCAGCCGAGTGAGTTTTTATTGTAGAAAAAGAAGGGTTGAGAGCAATAGTTTAAAACCTTTGTATAGTATTATACGTATTTTTTGATTAATAAAAACAGGATTGTCCAAAAATAAAATAAATAAAAAATAAACTTTTTATTATAGTTTAGGTGTTTTTTAGTTCTCAAGAAGCAAAAGAAAATACTTTATAAAAAAAAATATTAGAGAAATAATGCAAGCTATTGCACAACTCTATTTACAATCTAGAGCTTGTATGGTTTGTTGTTTATAGCTAAAGTTCTATATTGCATTATAATTAAGTTTTATATGATAATAAAAAGCTAATATTCTATAAATTATAATATAACAATATATTAAGTTTAATATTGAAAAAAAATTAAAGATGTATATAAGTAATGGTGAGCCTTTTTTTTAATAAAACACAAAGAGAAACAAACAAGTAAATCTAAAATACTAAAGAATAATATTATATAATAAAAAAATAAAGCTAGACAATTGGTGTTGAGTTTTAGAGGTAAATAGAGTTTGGTAATAGCTTGAGAGTATTTTACAGGTATATTTAAAAGTTTGTAGTATTTAATTTGAATTTAAAAAAAAATTAATAATAAAATTTTTTATATTAAACTACTTTTTTATATTTTGTAATTTTATTTGTTAATTAATCAAAGTATATTTAATATTTTAATACAATAATTGTTATTTTTATATTATTAAAAAAGCTATAAAATTATTTAAGATCAAAAAAAAGTAATTATAATATAAATAAAGGAAGACAAATATATTAAAAACAATTAGAAAGCATTAATGAATAATATTCAAAAGTTTAAAACCATTTTTAAAAATGTAAATGATCATAAAGCCAGTTTAAAAAAATGAATACAAAAACCTTAATACATTCATTCTTTGGGTAGTTTTGGACTGAATATTATGAAGAATCAAATAATATTGAATGCATACATGTATTTAATAATTTATTAAATTAATAAAAAAATTTTTTTAATATATATATAGCCAAAATTATTTTAATAAAAAATTTTTATTTAAAGCAAAAATTATATATTACTTTTGTTAGCTACTGTATATATATAAAGTAGCAAACAAAAGTAAAGCACAATTTTTACTTAAAACATAAAATTTTATTTATTTAATTTTGACCACACATACATTAAATTTTTTTTTTATTTAATACTTTGATAAATGACCACCTGCATTTGCAATAGCCTTTGTTCTTTATATTATTAAGTTTGAAACTACACAAAAAACTGATATATCCAAATTTGATCATGCTTCCATTAGGGCTGCCTTAAGTGCAAATTTATTATAGAAGAAGTTATCATAGTTATAAATATTGTTTTTTATAATCATCTAAATGTTTTCTATAAAATTTAAGTCAAAGATCATAAAGGCCAATTTATATAATTAATTTTTTTAATTTTAGCCAATTTGATACTTTGTAGATAGAGGCATTATCATGCTGAAAAATTGAATAAGAGATAAGTAATAAATGAGTAGCAGCTATAAATAGTACAAGGTAGTTATCTAAAATTTTAGTATAAATTTTTTTATTAATTTTTTGCTTAAGACCTTTGTAATCATCAAAAAAACCTTAGGTTATTTAATCATATTTACATAACAAGACTAAACTATTACTAAGACTCTTCTACTTTTAAAATTTAGTTGCAAACACTTATATTTGTATTTTTCATCCACATAGTATCATACTTGAACTTGGCAGGTTTGTTTACTGATTTTTATACTCATTTTATTAAAAAAATAATATACCTTCAATAATAAGCATCCTTGTTTTTATATTGTTCACACCAATCTTTATATTCATCTATATATTCTTCTATATTGCTTAGTGCCAAAAAAGGTTTCAAGACAATAACACAAGAATAAAGCCCAGCTTCATACAAAATCCTAGCTACAATATGTATACTGTATTAAAGATTTAAATCCTTTACAATTTTGAGCAAAAATACATATTTTTTCTTTAATACTTTTTTTACTATAGCAATCCTTTCTTGCTTCTTTGGGGTGGAAGAATATCCAAACCAAGATAAATTTGCTATTTTTTTAGTCCTTTTGTATTTTACTAAGAATCTTCAAATTGTTGATAGGGTATGTTTAAGCTTTTTGGTAATTTGCTTAGCACTTATCAGATTAATATAAGCAAGAACTATTTATTTCTCTTTTTTATTCATTTGTTTGTGTGGCATTTTTATAAAAAAAATTTTTTTAAGTTCTTAAGCTTATAGTTTTGACATAAAAGAAGTAAAAATAAAAAAAATTGTCCCAAAATATATAAGTATTGATAAACATAGCCTTCTTATTTATTTATATAAGGTGATTTGCAAATCATATATTACTTTTGTTAGCTACTATATGTATTTCAAATTTCACAAATCAACACTTGCACTACAATAATACATAAGTTTTACCTAGTTAATTATTGTTTTCAAAATTTACAATATTTACTAAATAATAACAATTTTAAAGAATTTTAATTTCAAATATATATATTGCTAATAAAGATTAACCAAATAACTATTTGATTAGTTCAATAGCTACAATTATTGTGGTTTGCAAAATAGAAGATGTAGATTTATTATTTTGTAAGTATTTGTATAGTATCTTTTGTAGAAATATAATTTCTATATTTATCATGATATAAAAAATTTAAAAATTTAAAAGTTGTAACAAATTTAATTTAAAAGATTATTACATTATTTTAGAAAATTAATTACTAAAAGAATCATGAAATTTTAAAGTAAAAGTTTAAGGATAGTTGATTTTTAACTCATAGTATCTATTTGTCCAGACATCTATTTTTATTTGTAGGTTTGCTTTTCTGAATATATTAATAAGATCTTTTTTATATATTAGCTCTAATATTAGTTTTTTTAGTATATGTATTTTTTTTTGGTAATTTTTATTCTTTTGTTCTTAGCTTCTATTTTTGAAATATTTTAATTTGATATAAAACTTCAACTTATCGCTCTTTCAAATTAGTGTGTCTATCAAATTTTGTAAATCACATATTACTAAAAATCTAAAAATCTAAAAATTAGTAATTTAATATTTATATCTCAAAATTTTTTAAAACTTTGAATGAAGATACCTCAACAACAACTAGGCAAAATTTAACAAATTTTTTTTTTTTTTATAAATTCTACTGATTCATTAAATTCAAATAAAAAAAAATTATTAATTTGACCTAGTGGTTTTCAAGAAACCTTTACTAAAATTTAAAAAATTTAATAAAATTTTTATTGAACTTTGTACAAATATATCTTGACAACTATCAACTCAATTTTGATAAACATTTTTTTTTATTTGAATTCTATATTGGTAAAATTCAAATAAAAAAAATTACTATATAGCCATGAAATAATGCACAAGGGCATTATTTCAAATTTTAGCCTGAATTAAGTTTAATTTAAGCCAAAATTCAGAATTACACCCCTGTGCATTATTTTGTAGCTATATGGTAATCAAAATTTGATTGATAATTGTCAAGATATATTTGTTCAAAGTTTGAGAAAATTTTTTATTTGAGAGACTTGTGTTTTTTAAAATAGCCAAATTTGACTGGTTTTTTTTTATTTGAATTTTATAGAGATATAGAATTCTAATAAAAAATTATTAAATTTGATTTAGTATTGTATAAAATAACTTCACTCAAAATATGAAAAATTATAGCACAGCTTCTGTTTTGATAAATGGTTTGAGTTTTTGAATGAAGAAATACCAAGCCAAATTCAGTCACTTTTTTTATTTGAATTCTACAGATTTAAATAAGAAAAGTTCATCAAATTTGTCTTGATGGTTGTCAAGATATCTTCATTCAAAGTTTAAAAAAAATTAAGAAATATGATACAAGAAATGCTTGAAACTTTCCATATTATTTAGGTGCACAAACAACTAGCTCTTGTATATTACTTGATAAAGTATTGAAAAAGTGAGAATTGCAGAGAAATATTGGGAATTTTTAATTGTTAGCAAGAATTTTAGATTTATTTGCAAAAAATGCACCAAAATTAGGGAATTTTGCCATTTTCAGAGTGAGAGATGATTAGCAGGGGTCACACTAATTTGAAAAGGGCGATAATACAACTACTAAGTTTGTTTATAAAAAAAAATATAGTGTCAACTTGAAAAATAATTAAAAAACTTTTATAGGGAGCTTCCAGATATTAGGTAGATATAGTCCCCTCAGAGTCAGTCGTTTGACAGAATAGTTTGACAATTACAAATTCAATTACTTTAGAACTTGTAATTGTCAAACGATTGATTATTTTAGAACTTGTAATTGTCAAATGGTTGTGTCAAGCGACTGACTCTAGGGGCTATATTTACATAATAAGTGGAAGTTCCCATTGAAAAATATAAATAAGTCTAAAATACTCTAAATACTATTATTTGTTTAAGATTTTGCCATAGCTTTTATTTAAAAGTTTAAAAGAAAGATTCCTAGATTACGATCTATTCATTCTGTATATTTGAATACTACGGTTAAAAAATCTACAAAAATTAAATGAATTTTATGAAGTTTCAATTTTGTTAAAGGTAATATTTAAAAAAATTATTTATTATTAACTGACCTCTTAATTCTGCCCACGTATATATTTTCATTTATTTATCATTTATTATAAATATATTAATGCACTTAAACGAAATTATCATTAAACTTTAAATTCACTCAATAATTCAGGCGCTTTAACTTGACCTTTTTGTATTCCTTCTACCATTTTTATAAGATCATAATTAATTTCTTGAGAAACTATTGAATCATAGTTATAATTTGGATGGGATCGTACAAAATTTCTTATCCATGTCGCTGCCGTTTGGATTTTGCCTATTATAATATAAGTGTATTTCATTAAATCGATTAAAACCATCAGCAAAATAATAAATTTAAGGAAATGGGCTAAATTACCACTAGCTCGCATGCCAATAAATTCAAGGTACTTTCCCAAATGATATCTTGTTTCAATATCAATGTTCATTGATTCGAGATATTGAAATATTACATTAATTAACCCCGGAAATTCGTTACCCTATAATAAGATAGAAAACATTCATGTCAATGTCAGTACAAGCATTAATTAATGTTGCAGCTGAAGCTGGAAATTTTATTTAATAATTAGGTTAGGATTTAGGGTTAACTTGATAATAAAAGAGTATAAGTGGATTTTGGTAGAGCTAATATTTTTAAATCAAGGTCCCTAATTTCCAGCTTCAGCCGCGACAATTAAAATGTATAAAATACACAATAATTACATTGCCATTTACAATTTCATTAATAGTCATTTGTTCAAATTCATCTTTATAGACAGATACAGTATAAATTATGTATCACAAAATGTAATTTTTATATAGTTATAAGCAGCAAATACAGAGCGTTATTACCTTCAACTCCATCATAGTTTGCAAATATATTCTTTCTGAACCAAAAATTTCCAGTATTTAATGCATCCCTCCTATAAGCAATAGTCATATTCTCATCCACCTAGTTAATAAATATTTAATTTATTATCATTACTTTAAATAGTAAGAGCAATTAATTAACACACCTTTGAGATTGGCATATAAAAATTTAGATCATAACTAAGAATAATGCGAGTCAAAAGTATCATGAAAGTTACAAATGCAGCATTTTCAAAATCAGATATTTGAACTTCCATGCAACGAAATTCTACCCGCCAACCAATATTTGAGTCTGGTGGTGGAGGTTTGAGGCGTACTGTTTGCCAGTTTGTTGAATTAATATTCTATATAAATGTCTCATTAGTAAAGTTCAATCTCAATAAGCTAAATATCTTATTATTAACACAACCTCAAAATGATTTGATGACGATTCATCATCTTGATGCAACAAATCTTCAAAGACAAAAAAAGGATCACGAATAAATAAATAAGATATATGGCGTGCCAAAAGTTCATCAACTCCTAAATGATAATTGTTACATAATTAATTACACATATATATACATAGTACATGAACTTTATAACCATTAACAATTTTCACATTGAATCAATGGAAAATTATAAGTACGGACATACCATTATCTATTAATTTTTTATAAATATTTCGATCATACACTGAATCTTGATCATTATATTCCGACTTTAGAGTTTTGTCAGCTGATATATAATAAGCGATTGTATCCCAGCGTGACCTATTTATTACGAATCGATCATTTTTGAGAGGCTATAATGAAAATAAGTATATATTAACAGCACATTATGGTAAAATTTTAGAACAGATTTTATAGAATAAAAATAATATATATATAAATAAGCAAAAATCTAACTTCTAAACCTCGTTCTTCTTTTGTACGATCGTCACCACATATCTTAAGTACAAACCATCTACAATCCATGTCAGACAGATAACCTC